AAGTAGCATGAGGGGTCTTCAGATAAATACCAGGAAGTGGGATTACTGGGTCCTTTTTCATTTCTTGTTATAGCCTTTGCTTTAAAGTCTATTCTGGGTTTTTTTTTCATTTCCATTTTCATTAAATAACTTTTTCCATCCATTTACTTTCAGTCTCTGTGTGTCTTTTAATCTGAAGTGAGTCTCTTGTAGGCAGTATATGTAAGGGTTTTGTTTTCTTATCCATTCACGCACCCTATGTTTTTAATTGGAGCATTTAATCCACTTACATTGAAAGCAATTTTTGATAGGTATGTAGTTATTGCCATCTTATTATTCACATTTTTTATGCCCCCACCCCCTTCCATCTTAAATAAGTCCCTCTAACATTCCTTGTAATACTGGTTTGATGTTGATCAACTCCTTAGGCTTTTTCGTATTTGGGAAGCTCTTTATCTGTCTTTCAGTTTTAAATGATAGCTTTGCTGGATAGAGTAGTCTTGGTTGTAGGTCCTTGCTTTTCATCACTCTGAATATTTCATACTAATCCCTTCTGTCCTGCCAAGTTCCTGTTGAGAAATGAGCTGACAGTCTTATGGGAGCTTCTTTGTAGGTAACTAACTGCTTTTCTCTTGCTGCTTTTAAGATCCTTTTTGTCTTTAACCTTTGCCATTTTAATTCTGTGTTTTGATGTGGGCCTGTTTGCGTTCATTTTGGGGGGGGGGGACTCCCTGCACTTTCTGGGCTTGTATGTCTATTTCCTTTGCCAGGTTAGGAAACTTTTCAGTTATTATTTCTTCAAATAGATTCTCAATTCCTTGCTTTCTCTCTCCCTTTCTGGAACCTCTGTGATGTGAATGTTGTTACACTTGATGTTATCCCAGAAGTCTCTTAAACTATCCTCATTTTTTTGGATTCTTTTTTCTTATTACTGTTCCAATTGGGTGTTTTATGCTACCTTGTCTTCCAAATTGCTGATTCAGTCCTCTGATTCATCTAGTCTGCTGGTAATTCTTTCTACTGCATTCTAAATTTCAGTCATAGTATTCTTCACTTCTGACTGGTTCTTTTTATGGTTTCTATATCCTTTTTTTATGTTCGCTATCTCTCTAAGTTCTTTGAACATGCTTATAATCATTTTTTTTCTAACTCTGTACCTAGAAGGTTGCTCACCTGAATTTTGTTTAGCTCTTTTTCTGAAGTTTTCTCCTGTCCTTTCATTTGGGACATATTTGTTTTCTCAGTCTGACTGCCTCTCTGTGTTTGTTTCTATGTATTAGGTAGGGCTGCTATGTCTCCCAGTCTTGTCGGGTAGTAGGGGTCCTATGGGGCCCAGTGACAAAATCTCCCTGGTCACCTGAGTCAGGTGTTCCAAGAGTGTCCTGTATGGGTTGTGTGTGCCCTCCTGTTATAGTTGAGCCTTGATTGCTGTTGGCATGTCAGTGGGTGGTATTGACCCTCACGCTGACTGGCTGTGGGGTCTGGCCACTTCCACGCTTGTGGGTTGCTGTTCAGGGTGCTTACCCTAGGGAGCAGGATTCACCCAAGTGGGCTCTGGTGCCTACTGTGACTGCCCTTTGCATATGCTGCTTGTGGGGCTAACTGGGTGATGCTCTGCTATGGTCTAAAGCCAAACTCCACGTATATTGGTTCTGGGGCCTCTTGGGAAGGACTCAGTGCAGGTCAAGGTTGGCCACTGCCTGTGACCAGCTGGGGACTACCTGGCAGGTGCTACAAAGCAATCCACAGTTGGTTGCTGCTTGTGCTGTACCTGGAGGAGAGGCCATGCTGTAAACCAAGGAGAGTTGCCACAGTACCAGGTCTGAGGTAGCTCCACAAAAAGCCAGGACACTCTGAGGCCTATTGCCACCTACCAGCTCCTGTAAGGTTCAGCTGCTGCTAAATCCTCCTGTGGTACACATGTTGGATGAGGAAGGGTCTCAATGAGTTAGAAGGGTTGAGCAGCAGAGCTCACCAGGCCAATTCGATTCAGATTTGGCCTATGGGGGCAGGCTCAAAATAAGAAAAATGGCACCTGCCTGCTGGCTGCACAGGACATGGGACCCACATAGGGAAAATGAGGACTGTCTCTTTAGTCCTTGCCATGAAGTTACACAGCTGTCTCTCACCATATGTCTCTGATGCCCCCAGAGTCACCATTCCTCCACCAAAGCCCAGGATGTGTGCCTGCGCAGGCCCTTTAAGAGGCTATCTGGGTTTCCTACAGCCTTCCATCCCACCTGGACAGTCAGAATCCCCACTGTTTTCCACAGCCAGAAGTTGTGGGGGCTCCTCTTCCTGGCACTAGTACTATGGGCTGGGGAGCATGATATGGGGGGCTGGGGTCCCTTGCTCCTTCGTGGGGAACCTCTGTGCCCAAGTTATCTCTCCCAATTTTCAACCTCTACACGTGGGTGTGGGACCAACCCATTTCACATCTCTACCCCTCCTACCAGTATCAACATGGCTTCTTCTTTATATCCTTAATTATAAAACTGCTGTCCAGTTAGACTTCAGATGGCTCTCCAGGTTGACTGTTCTATAATTTAGTTGTAATTTTGATGTGTTCATGAGATGAGGCAAGCACAGCGTTTATCTACTCTGCCATCTTGGATCTCCTTCTGAACTCCTAATAGGTTTTAATCTGCAGTTAAGACTAAACCCATGATGTGAAGTATCTGCAAAATGCTGAACAAACTTTAATGGCTACCACATTCTCAAAACAGCATCACCTGTCCCCTTTAAAGCACTGACTGGTCAGTTCTTAAATACAGTCTCGGATGATACGATACGCTTATCAGTAAGTGTGTTTTGTTAATTCAGAAGTCTGACATGGAGATGGACTACACTGTGGTTTAAATAAAAAATAACAAGTACATAGGAAAATTCTATAGTTAAGGAAGGGGAAGCAGGATGGAGTAACATGTATTCCAGCCTAGAAGGAGGATGATAGGTGCAAGTGATGCCAGATATAATGTAAGATTCTAAACATCCAAAATTGATACAGAATCTGTCTTTCCACTGTAACTGAGAAAGAAACTAGGCCATTTTTTACTTCAAATAATTATACAATTAAAACTCACAGACTTCTGAGTACTCTTCTCCCCAAGCTTTCCTGCAGCCAAGTATCACTGATAACAACACAGTCCTCCATAGTATAAATAACATTTATATGGCTCTTTCAAATATTTTATTTCATTAAAACACCACAGTGATCCAGTCCACAGGGTTTTTGGCTCTGAAATCTTGGCAAAGTCACTTAATCTGGCTGGCTTTCTGCTTCCTTGATAAATAAATGGGACTGACAATTTTGATGAATATGCTAATTATTTCCACCTGTTCTAAACATTTTACAAACATAAACTCACTGAACCTTCACTATGAGATACACTATTATTACCTCCTTTTTATAGCAGAGGAAACTGAGGCCCAGAGAGGCTAAGTCACTTGCTGCAGGTCCCAAAGCTAGGACAATAAACTGACCTGCTGTATCCAGGTGAGGCCTAGAATGATGGTACAAATTAAGTATGAATGGTGAAGATGAAAGTCTTCCTATATGGCCTATCAATGAAATAGGTGATCAACAGTCAAAAAGAAAACAGATGTTTAAGAACAAAAAATGTTTTCAAAATCCTTTTAGGATTATTGGCCCAATATTTGGTCTAGTTGCATAAAAACAGTAACACAACACCTGTTCACAAAAAGCAGTGTGTTCCCCTGAAACAAGCATCAAGTACTAAAATGCTTTTTTCTTCTGCCAATTACAAATTCTCTTCCAAGAAAGGACATCTTGACTTGAAATATGTTGTGACATGGCATGAGGTGCTATGACATTAAATTTTATCTGAATAAATTTTAAACGTTTTTCTGAATCAGAGAAAGGAGCTATTGTTTAGTGTTCACATCAAGTATCAGGCAGTGCTCCTTATGTACTGTGGTAACTTTATGCATCTTTGTATCCCACACTACTATGCATTGCATGAAACCTGCTTTTAAGCATTTCTTGGAGATGTGTCAACAATGGTAAAGCATTATAACCAAAAGAATGAAGGTGGCAAAACATGCAAATTCCAACCTGAAATTGTACTATAATAAAACTACCACCTTGTCCTTCTCAAGAATATGCTCTTGGTGTCTACAGCGGATCTTTCACTTTCAAAAGGAAAAAAAAAATCACCACGAAATTTCTGCCTCTCATCCTAAACAGCTGAATCATTCATATTCGACCACTCATAATTCTTCCAAAACTATCAGTGCTTTTTGGGAAGTCCGAATTTAAGACTGTCCCTAGAAGAACATGGAAGAATTATAGGAATTTAAAGGGATTCCCAAAAGATGTTGACTTAAATAGGAGCTGCATTATCCTTAACCAAAGAGGAGGCCGTGGCTATTACATCAATCTCTGTTGAAGGAAAAATACTACGTTGAGAAAACGTATTCGTTCATCCAACGAATATTTATTAAACGTCTACTTGGCGTAAGGCAAATGGGCATATGAACACTGGAACAGGTGCGCTGCGGCCGTCTGCTCCTCCGCGAGGCCCAACGCCCAGCGGGACAACCCCCCTACCCCCACCCCCACCCCGCCCCCATGCACCGGCTCCTCCCGCGCCGCCTCGCTGCCCTGACACAGGTGTCCGGAGCTATGCGGTGAAATGAACAAACGGTCTCACCACTGCGGCGAAAGCCCAAAGCCCACGCACACCCTGGGCTGCAATGGACCTGTGAGACCGTGGGAAACCCCGCACCAACGCGAGGATAGCGCCGTGCCCCGGGGATCAGAGAGGGCAGGGAATCAGGGCGGGGGGCTGGTTGTGGGGGTTGCAGAGGATCTCTGGAGGGTGCTTAGGGAATCCCTGGGGCGTTCTGGGGGGCTTTAGAGATTGCGTGTGGGGAGGCCTGGGGGCCCTAGGGAATCTCTGGGGGAATCTGGGCGGCCCTAAGGGAAGCTTGGAGGGCAGCCAGCCGGTAAAGAGCCTGGGACAGAAACTCCCTCAGGGCACGCGCGGTCTGACGCTCACCCAAACAACCCTCGGAGGAAGGAGTGGGAGGCCTTGACGCGCTTCTCCGCCTCCGCCATCAGCTGTACTGCCTCACGTTCCTTTCCCGCGTTGTCCATGTCGCCGGCCGCGGGCACCACAGCCTCCTCAGCCGGCAGGGGAGCGTCTTCCGCGACTTCGTCCTCCCCTCGCAGGGGCGGGGAGCGCAGGCGCGGCGCGCTAGGCCTCCCGGGATTTGTAGTCCGGGGCCTACCCTGGCGGCCAGGTTGCGCATCGGGTCAACTACAGTTCCCAGCAGGGCTCAGAGTGGGTGGGGATCCGAGCTTGCAGACCACCGGCACCCGTGGTTTCGGTTATGGGGTCCTAAGCCATGGTGAACTTTAATCATTTAAGTATTGGCGTGGGGGGAGGGAGGGGGAGAATGGGAAATGACCCGTGGCTTCCAGTAAAGATCACCTCAACCCTCAGAATCACAGTTGGTTCAGGAATTCCTGCTCAGCAGGACTGACACTTGGCAATGGAATTGATGAGGAAACGGGATAATAGAATGGAATGCTCAACCTACAGGTCAGTTGAGTTCCACAAAAGGGAATATAGTGCAGTGTGGACGAAAAAGGGGCCACATGCTAAACCTGACAAGCTCATAGGAGGCCAGCATGGCAGACCCTACAAACTCAGAGACTGAAATTAACCACATAGGATGGTCTGAACATTAAAAATTACTAATTAAAAGGGGTCATGGTAAGTAGTCACATCCTTGGCCAGTAGCTTCCTTGACAAACAAAGGTCAATCTTTACCTTAAGTGAGCCTGTCTGTTGTAGTTGTGTATCTAAGATAACATACTCTTGGAATGTCAGAGCAATCCTTTTTTTCCAGACCCCTCAAGACACAACCAGAGCACCAGAACACAGGCGGTACACTAGATGACAGAACCCTTCATTGTTCTCTTGTTCCCAGAATACCATCTCTATGTGCTGTAAAATGTTAATTATTAACTGTCCTGTACCCACCAATGTAAAAGAAGTATGTGTCTCTCCCTTTTAATCCAATCCCAGGGATTTCCCCTCTTTGCTTTCTTCCATCCCCTTAATCTACCACCAATGGATTTCATGTAACCCTCCTTACATCTCCTCCTTTGATTCTAATATATAAAATAAGCTAAAAAACTGCCATTCCCTGGAGAATTTTATTAATCCATTGAGATTTTGCTTCCTGGCAATTGTCTTCAGTTTGGCTCAAAAAACTCTAAACTTCTCTACAGGCTTGGATGTTTCTTACATTGACAGCAGCCACAGAAAACAACTTCATTAAATGTGTAATGTCCACCCACCCATGAGCAACAGAAAGAGCCATTTTTATTTCCAGAGCAAGCCATTTAAGAATGTATCACCTGAAACTAACAATAAAAAAAAAAGAATGTGTCATTTCCCCCAATATAAATTCATAGTTATTTGTCAGGCTCCCCATATTGGAACCTTCTGTTGGTCCTCTCTTCCTTGGTTATAAATCAGTTGCATATATGCAATATATGCATAATCTACTCTTTTTTATTGACTGAATTCTTTTCAGTGAATATTTGCCATTGCACTCTCTTATCCTTTCTATAATGCTGGCCATAGGGGGTGGATCTCCTGGGACACAATTCCTTCCTGCCATGAAGAATTCTAATCTCCTAAGAGAAGTATCCATAGATAGATGCTATCATGTGCCAAAGGTTTTCAGGACTGTCCCAGAAGGGGTTATTTTTTCTTTTAATACAAAGTCTAGACCATTTACATTTGGCAATGCTAAAGCAGAAGTGGTGAAACAAATATGAAAATCACTGCCAAATGAGAACTTGTGACAATTTCAAATTATTAATAATTTTGTGGACACTGACACACAAAATATGTCTAAGAAAATGCAGTTTGCCTTCAGAGAGCAAGGCAAGAAGGGCCAAACTCCTAGAAAGATAACTAAAGCAAATGTCACAGTTCATGCATTGCAGGACACTTTAGAGATAGAAGGAAATCTCAGCTCTTAAGGCAGAGTTTATTTATTATTATTACATGCATTATTCTAACTTGGAGCAGTATAAGGGAAGAAGGGGGCAGGAAAATGGAGATGGCAGTAAATGCAGAAGTGAAGAGGAAAGCTGAAAAAATGGACATAAGAATTTGAAAAGCAGAGCAGTCCATGGGGATTTAATGGAGTGGGGCCAACTCAAAAGCTCTGAAGTACAGCATCAGTATGTTGATTAAAGCAGTTCCCAGACTTGACTCAATGTGGAAACTCTAAAGGATGTTCAAGAAATACTGATTCCTAAGTCACTAGCTTTTTGTATCATTATTTTCTAGAGTTGGGGTCCAGGAAGTATACCTTTTTAAAAGAACTCTCCATGATTATTCTAAAGCTTATAATTCTAGATTCTCAAATCTGTATGTTGGGTCCAGATAATCAATAAAGAAGTTGGATGTCAAATTAGGGTTCCGAAGATTTTATTAAGCTGAGCTCAGTGACCGCCTCTCCAACTAAGGAGAGACAGCCCCAAATATTTGGGGGGTAGGGTTTTTATAAGGTAGGGCTATATACAAAGTAAATTACAGAAGCCAGAAAGAATGTGCAGTTATTTTAGTCAAAACCGCATCCTGCTGTTGTAACAGTGTTGTTATGTCCAGATGTCCAGATATCTTAACAGTACATTGTGACCAGGTGGAGTTGACTGTATAAACTGTTTCTCAGAAATATATATATATATAATTAATTTTAGAAACTAAGAATGGGGGTGAGACATCAAGGTTAACAGCTGCAAGGTCTTCTGAAAGGTGGGGGATAAGGGGGAACTGTTGCATGGCCTCCTGAGAGGCGGGAGAGCAAGGAGGAACTGAGGAATGTCTTTCTTTAACCTTTTATTTCCCAGCAGAAGCAAAGCAGGTATACAGAAGCAAAAAGAGCTGTTAGTTCCTGTGAAATGGTCTAAGCCAGTTGTGACAAAACTACTTCTGCAAAACATTCTTAATATTTTTGTTGCAACCCATTTCTTGTAAAGCTAGGCATTTTACTCTCAACGGAAAGTTCTGCTTAGAATCTAGCTGAAGTAGCTGAAGTATGATTTTGAAAAGTGAGTCTGTCCGGCTGAGTCTGTCCGGCCTAGGGTCCAGGCCAAGATCCTTACATGTAGTCAACTAAAAAGGAGGTAGAATGAACTACCTCCTTTGGACAAGAACTTGCAGTTAAGGGTTGCAGAAGTATATGTTGACATTTTTTATATTTCCTGGTGTTTCCCCCATTTTCTTTTTTTTCACAGGAAACTTACAGACACTCCCACCCTTCCCCCAGTCCACACCCAAGTTAGAGAAAAACTTCAAACCTTAATTGTTGTGTAGACCAAGTGTTTTCTTCTCCCAGAGGCTAAGTGAGTAGAGATGGCAGGGCAGAGAGACAAACCTCACAGAGTAAGGACTGACTAGAGGAATAGATGAGAAATCCTTGAAAGATGAAGGAAAAGGAGACTTGCTTTGGTGTGGACCAGGGAGGTAGTGAGAACCTCAAGTAGAAGCTGTCCCAGAGTATATCCAAAGGACCCATGGATCTACACCTCTGCTGACTAGGATGGTGGCCACTTAAATTTAAATCAAATAATATGAAATGAAATGTAAAATTTCATTCCTCAGTCACACTAGCCACATTTCAACTGCTCAATAGCCACGTATAACTAGTGGCTACCATATTAGACTGCACACATATAAAACATTTCTATCATTGCACAAGGTTCTAGTGGACAGTGCTGTTCTATACACCTATGCCTTTCAGCAACCTTGCACACTGAGACAAAGAAAAAGGAAAAAGTCTTCAGACAGTTTCTGAGAAGATGGAGCAGGAAATGAAGAGCCTGCACCCAGAACAAGGCAGAACCAAACAGAATCTGTGGCTTTTCCCTATGAGCAGATCAGGGTGGACACAGACACTCAGACTGAGTGAACACACAGAAGCTAGATTGGAATGTTAAGTGTTCAAGTACCCATCCTGAGAGGTGGTCTGCAAAGGCAAGGCTGACGCCATTTGAGAACACCCAGCTCTAAGAGAGGCAGGGTTAGACCTATGTGGAAAACAAGGTGTGGCCATCCATCTGCATGTGCTCATAGCAGTGTGGTGCAGAGAGAGACTGTGTGGAGTCTGGTACCGATGGAGAGTGCAGTGGGTGCAAATGCAGTGCACTTCCAGGATTGCCTGGGCTGGTGTCCTCACTGGCCAGTGCACTGGGTGAGTGCCTGCAATATAGCTTAGTGCAGCTGGCTGTCACTACTCAGTGGTGCAACAACAGCTACCAGTTACTAAGTTCACTTGGTGTCAACCACCTCCTCTCCCTCTGAGTCCAAAATCAGTAGGAAACTTCTGACCATGACTAGCACTTAATATTCCCATGCCTGCTGGTCCCAACTGCCAGCACTTGCAATTCTCCTGAGAGTTATCTATGGCCTTCCAGTCTTCTCTGCTTGAATGCTAGGGGAGTAAGTGGAAGGGGTGGTAAATTAACTTAATTAATAGGGGAATTAATGGCTCTCTGCCTCTTGGGAGCAGCCCTCAATCAATGACTGTTGAGAAGTTGGAGGATAAGTACCCATCTGGTGGGACAACTCTGAACAATGTTCTACAGTCTCCCAGCGGTCCCAATAGGAATGAGCTCCAGTTGCTGACAGTAAAAACTGGCTTGTTCTGTACCCTTTTTTGGGCTTCCTTCTCTTCTGTGACCCCACACCCCTACTAGTGATGCCCAGTGTCACCTCCAATAAATTGCTTTCACTAGAATCCTTGTCTCAAGGTCTACTTTTGGGAGGACACAAACTAAGGGAGAGTATGCACTGAGGACCAATAGGTGTGTTCTGGTCCCCATGGACAATCATGGTGTTCATTACAAATTTATAAATCGGCATTCTTATATATGGATAACTGTTTACTTAGGGTTCTAGCTCTCACTCCAACTTAGTGGTGTAAAACAACAACAATCATTATTGTTATCACCTGTGGTTCTAGGGGCTGACTGGTCTGAGCTGGGTGGTTCTTACATGGGGCCTCTCAGTCAAGAGGTAGCTGGAGCTGGGGTCCACTCAGTGACTACTTCCTTCACACGCCTGGTGCCTGGGATGAGAAGACTCATAGGTGAGAGTAGCCAAAGCTCCTCGCATCTGTCTCTAGTCTCATGTGGTAGCCAGGGCTCCAA